CCTGCAGGCTGTAGATGCAGACTGCTGTTTCAGCTGGTGAGAAATCAGGGTAGGAGGGTGAGGAAAGGGTGTGGCATGGATAATAGAAGAGACAAGTGTTCCTTTTAAAAGACTGATAAAGAGCAATCTATTTTGCATTGTTTTAAGCAACGAAATTCAATCATAACTTTATTTTTTCATTTGAGTACATTTGATATAGGGCCGGGCAGTCTGCATCACAAGTACAATAGCCTACTCCCCACACCCCTGAACAATAGCAGTCTGCCACAGTACTGTCCAGTCAGCCCTTATTATCCCTGTCTTATTACCTCATACCAAACGGATCATTTGCTACTAACAGCATATGTTTAAATGGGAACTCTCAAGCGCACAGGAACCTTGCCCTAGTATTCAAATATAGTTTGGAGACAACATTAGCAATGTCCCATATATTAAAGGATACATCATTACTGTAGAGATGCTCTGCTGACAGAGGTTTTAATGTACAGTAAAGTGGGGCCTGGCTTTGTAATCAATGTCCTTTTCTTTCCAGTAACCAAATTAGGGTCGGGATAGGGGAGGAACGGAGGAAACAGCTGATACCCAGTGGGTGAAGTCATTGGGTTCACAATTGACTTGATATGCAACTGCAGCTGGTTTTCTGGAAGACTAGGAAATGAACACAACATATAATGCCTTTATTTAATTTGTAGAACACTGAATAGGAACTGCAGGAAATCATGTGTACCTTTAGGTGTCTGGAATTAATGAAGTAAATGTATGTCTATCCTACCTTTTAAAGCATGGAGTATCATGTGTCTCTTTGTGTTGCCTACTGGTGTTAAAATAACTAGTGGCGGTGCAGATCTCCATTTGTTTCCATTCCCCCAGGACTCATTGTCTCAGATGTCCAGTGGATGTGATTGACGGGATGTCTGAACAGCTACATTGTGGTGAATTGGGTCAGGGTGTGGTTTTGCCTTCCTGCTTATTGTCCTCATTCTTTCAATAATATTACTTTTCAGTCTGCAGTGATAACAATCTTACACGTCACTGTAAAATATCTATACTTTTTATCGGTCTTTAGGTCATTCTTTTTCACATTAAGGTCACTTGGAGATTTTTGTTTTCCGTGGTCTTTTTTAAATTTCAGGATACTTAAACCACAGCAGGCTCCCAATCTCTTAAGTACTGAGCAGCAATGCAGCCCCGCTTATCCAGATTATTCCAAATCCTCCTATTGCTGCTGTTAGCATAAATTCACCAGCAGCATGACAAAAGCCGTAGTAGGAAGGTATCATAAAAACACATGCAGGCAAATGGGTGCATACGTAACAGTCACAACCGCTTATGGGATTTAACACACTGTGGCCTTTAACAAGTGAACAAGACATGAATACAGATCTGAACACAATCGGTGTCTTCAGTGAAGTGTGGCCGCATGCAGTTCATTTCCAGTGTTGCCCCTGCGGTGATCTGAAGCCCCTTTGTGCTCTCTCCATCTGAAAGAAATGCATTCTGCTGAGTCATCAATCAATGGCTATGTAGATATTAACAGCTGTGTTGCATTGCATGGGTTAATATATGGCTCTGTGAAAAGGGAAAATATCATTTCCATCAAAACCTCAAAATGCAGGCCCATCGCTGTTTTCCTCGTTTAAAGTCCCCAGTTACAAAAAACACACTGCTAATGGGTACATGTGTATTTTCTTTGCAAGTCATGTGACACCTTTCCTTTTGTGTGTGCAGTTCTGGGAAGTGATCAGCGATGAGCACGGCATCGATCCCACCGGGACTTACAACGGAGACAGTGACCTGCAGCTGGACAGGATCAGCGTCTACTACAATGAGGCCACTGGTACGTCAACTTACATAAATAAAGGGTATATTATGAGAACACATATTCACCTTTGCTTTTTCATTCTGAGGTAAAACACATGTTATTACTTTCTCATGTCTGCTGTCATGCATAGATTTTCCCACATTATATATTTTTGTGTAACATCCAAGACTGTGGTTTCCCACATTATTGAACTGGGCTGTTTTCTCTCTCCCTGTTTTTTCTCTTTTCTCGACAAGATAGAAAATATGTACCTCGTGCCATTCTTGTGGACTTGGAGCCTGGCACCATGGACTCCGTGAGGTCTGGACCCTTTGGGCAGATCTTCAAGCCAGACAATTTTGTGTTTGGTGGGTGGAATTAAGCTTCTATGTCGTGATATTGAAAGACTACATTCTTTTATGGGCAGGGTAATAAGATCAGCTCACCTGTATGTCTCTTCTTCTCCTCCAGGTCAGAGTGGTGCGGGAAACAACTGGGCCAAGGGTCACTACACAGAGGGAGCTGAGTTGGTGGACTCAGTCCTGGATGTGGTCCGCAAAGAGGCAGAGAGCTGTGACTGCCTGCAGGGCTTCCAGCTCACACACTCTCTTGGTGGTGGAACTGGATCGGGTATGGGAACCCTGCTCATCAGCAAGATCCGCGAGGAGTACCCCGACCGCATCATGAACACCTTCAGTGTGGTGCCTTCCCCCAAGGTAACATACTCTTTTAAGAAGTTTTAATTTGAGTTTTTCTTGCCTTAGGTTTTCCCCTCTAAAATCATGAGACTGAAAACTAATGTGTTTTCTATCCTCAGGTGTCAGACACAGTGGTTGAGCCTTACAATGCCACCCTCTCAGTCCACCAGCTCGTCGAGAACACCGATGAAACTTACTGTATTGACAATGAAGCTCTGTATGACATCTGCTTCCGCACTTTGAAACTTACCACCCCCACCTACGGTGACCTTAACCACTTGGTGTCCGCCACCATGAGCGGGGTCACCACCTGCCTTCGTTTCCCCGGCCAGCTCAACGCTGATCTGCGCAAACTTGCCGTCAACATGGTGCCTTTCCCCCGTCTGCACTTTTTCATGCCCGGCTTCGCCCCCCTGACCAGCAGAGGCAGCCAGCAGTACAGCGCCCTCACTGTCCCCGAGCTCACCCAGCAGGTGTTCGATGCCAAGAACATGATGGCTGCGTGCGACCCACGTCACGGCCGCTATCTGACCGTCGCCGCCGTGTTCCGTGGCCGCATGTCCATGAAGGAGGTCGACGAGCAGATGCTCAACGTCCAGAACAAGAACAGCAGCTACTTCGTGGAATGGATCCCCAACAATGTGAAGACCGCTGTCTGTGACATTCCACCACGAGGCCTCAAGATGGCCGTCACCTTCATTGGTAACAGCACAGCCATTCAGGAGCTGTTCAAGCGCATCTCAGAGCAGTTCACAGCCATGTTCCGTCGTAAGGCCTTCTTGCATTGGTACACCGGAGAAGGTATGGATGAGATGGAGTTCACCGAGGCCGAGAGCAACATGAATGATCTGGTGTCCGAGTACCAGCAGTACCAGGATGCCACCACCGAAGAGGAGGGAGAATTTGAGGAGGAAGCTGATGATGATGCTTGAAGATAAAAATATGAAGGTCAAGACATCAATGCCAAAATCTAACATTATCACAAAAAAAAAACATTAAAGTAACGAAGGAACAAACATATTCTGAAGTACTGCTAGAATTCATCTTTAGCATACATTAGAAATCCATTGTGATTCAGTGCAAATAAAGTTATCAAATGAAAACGTGTCTGCCTTTCTTAAATGTGTGCATATAACAGATCTTCATTGTCTGATAAAACTTTAACTAAGACTCAGCCATTAATCACATTTCAAAACAGTAGAAATATAAAGGATTTGATACAAAGCGCATTATCAGAGATAAATGAATGTTATCTCTGTTGAGGTCAGCTGTTTTTGTAGGAGGATAATGATGCATTCATGTGATGTTTCCAGCAGCTATTTCAAAAATAGCCGATCCATTCACTTTTGAGATGCTTGGATACAGCAGTTTATGGTTTATGGTCTTTCCCATGAACATTAAGCTTTAAAATACTTGAATACACAGAGATTGCAGACATTCAGTGGGTCAAATATGGTTCCCAGATATTATTATTTGAATGAATGAGGTGTTATATCTCAAGGTTTCTACTTGGCAAGAATGATGGCTGTGTGCACACCAATTTGCAACATACAGTCAGGCAAAGATTTTTCTCCCGGCAAAACCACATTCCCACAACTATGAGTCAAACCTCGTAACATGGTATGTTCACTGCACAGCTGTTTTTATTATCTGTTTTGCATACAATTCGTTTCAGGAGGAGGTTTAGATGTAGGTGCCCCAAAAATAATGTAGTAAGTACTTGTCTAACTTTTTTATTATATAGATTATTATATTTATATTATATATTAGCATATGACTACAAGAATTACAATTGTTGCTGGTGCCCGAGGAATGACTGGCTATCATACAAAGGGACCCCAGGACAACAATGTGCTACCGGGCCCACATTCCATGTATGTTATAATATAAGCTCACAATTTACATATAATGATCTTGAAAAACACAGATATCGTGTTTGAGACAGATCCTCATGTTTGGGTAAAAATGCAGCAAATATCACAAGCCCTCTGATATCAAGTTAAGTTGTTCTTTAGGGCTGCATATATTCATATCCACATTTTCATTTCTTACGGCCCCTAAATTCCCGTTAGATAGGGCAGTTTTTGTGTAAAAAAAACAAAACATGAAGATAGAAAACGAATCAATATCTGCAGAAGGGTATTCATTTGGGCCACTTGATTTACACATCAAACTGTTTTTAAAACCTTTTCTATTACTTTTGAATTAATGAACAAGTGTATGTCTCAAAGAATATTGGACAGTTGGACTAGTTTTTAGTTATGGTATCACAATCCAATAATTCTGTGTGGTCCCTTTAAGACACTACAGTTGTGCGGGAATGTTGGTCCAATCAGAAAACTTTTAAAGTGAGGCTGGGGGAAAATGACCAATGGCAACAGAGTCCAGTGTGAGTGGTCGGTTAACTGGCCAATCACATGCATTACAGACACCTCTTATGGGCGTGTTCGATTCTTTCCAGGATGTGTGTGTTTATTTTTTACATATCTCCAAAACGTGTAAAGCTAGGTAACAGCAGAGTACATTTTTTACGAATATGTGGCACATTTGTAGTGCAACAACAATGCAAATGAACTTGGCATTCATTTGAACAATTTCACCATGCAGTCGGGTGTACAGTGAAGCCACCTCGAGTCGATGGTACTTCCTTTATAGTTTTCAAGGTAAATTATTCTCTTTCTTGAAAGCAGTAGTACATTATATTTACATTGATAATTGTTATTGACAATATTGGGCGAAATTTAAAAAGCAATAGGTTCATTAGCCTATAACATTTATTTTTTTAATTAGACGTTAGAATAACCAAAACTATCAGTTGACGTCTTTTGCGTAGTTTTGTTTGGATGCTGACCGGAAGTGGGATTGCTGCAAAGTGATTTGATAGACATGTTGATACAAGTTCGATAAAAGTTGTGCCAGCGTTGCTTCACTCTACAAACAGGATTGAAGCAGAATTTAACAAAAAAAGTATAGCAAATAAAAGCTATTCAGGCTAATGGTAACGTTGTTGCCTAGCAATATCTACTAACGATATATCCAGCAATGTTCTCACGGCTAGTTAAAGCTAACGTTGGTGGAAACAGACTGCTTTAACATCCATTTATCTGTGTCTGTAGTATAACAGTCGTCCTGTCCTACCCTATGTGAGGTATGGATGCTACTCAGAGGATCTGTGACTCAATATTGGAGTCAGATGAGGAGGATCATGAAGATGAGAGTGAAAATAAGAGGGGACGACCATTGGCTAAACTGTACATCTTAAAAAATGCACACATACCTGAGACAGGTGAGTGGCCCCCTCTATTGCTGGTATTACTGCTATTGTTTGCTGATTTAGGCACTTAGTTGAATTAACTTAACTTGTCTTTTTTTCTGATGGGTGTTCTCTGCCTCCCAGAGGTTCCTCTCTTTTTGGGAGAAAACGTCCTGGGCCGTGACCCCAACACCTGCGCCGTGCCCCTGATAGCACCCTCAATTTCGAAGCAGCACGCCACCATCTGCCTCTCAGTCTACAGGAAAAGAGGACGTCACAGTGAAGTGGACATAGAGGCTTTGGTTTGGGACCAAGGGAGCATGAATGGGACCCGCAAGGGCCAAAAGAAGCTGACACCTAATGTACGCTATGCCCTCAGTGAACGTGACAGCTTGGTGGTGGCAGACATCCCATGTCAGTATGTGAGCTGCGCTGAAGATGCTGTTTCCTCTCAAGGGGATGCGAGGACTCCTGTGAGCAGACATTCAGGGGAAAAGGCCACGCGGCTACATGCCACAAGCACAAGCGGCAAGAAATATGTCAACGGTGGTACAAGAGCTAGGGTGTCATTACCTGATCAGGAGGACACCATGAAGACCCCTGGCGTAACCACTGTCCTGTCCTTTGAGCAAACCCCAACCTACCCAGAAGGGAGCCTGGTCCCGGAGTCTGATTCGGACTCAGACGGAGAAACAGGGCAAAGAAGGCGCAAAGCAATAGGTATGTAAATAACGTTATTACAAACTAAAATTAAATAAGTGTAAACTTCTTCCCACCCATTTTCAGATGTGTAATTAAGTAGATCATTTGTTTATATATCATTTGTTAGTCAATAATATGTTTGTTTATCAATTTGATACTGCTTGAGTTTGTACAGTATCATAAAGTTTGTATTACTGTTTTACACGTTCGAAATAAATCAAATCAAAATTAAATTGTCTTTTATAGTGTCCGATTCTGACTCCCATAAATCCAGTCCCAGATGTTCAACATTCCTGAGTCCCACAAACAAAACCGTCCCTGAAAGGTAAAGCATCCTATACATCTTTCAAACAAATCTGTATTCATAACACAGTCATTCATCTCCGTGGAGATATGTGCTTTTATGCAGTGTATCCCTTATTTTACTTTAGTCAAAATATTAAATGTTAAATTCAATGAAAAAAAGACCGAGGTGATAATGTTTGGACCCAGTGGGGGCCCCAATGCCCCGCCTGTGCTGGATTCTCTTGTCCCATATGTGAAACCCATTGTCACAAATGTGGGTGTGTGATTTGAAACTAGACAGACAGATCCATTCTGTGGTCAAATCCAGCTTCTTTCAGCTAAGACTTTTAGCAAAGGTCAAGCCTTTCCTTTCTTTGAATGACTTTGAGAGAGTAATACATTGTTTTATATTACATTGCATTTAGCTGACGCTTTTATCCAAAGAGACTTACAATAAGTGCATTCGACCAAGAAGATACAAACTTGAAGAAAACAGAATCATATAAGTACATCAGGTTTCATAGAGCCAAAACATTTCAAGTGCTACTCAACTGGCTTTAGATAAGCCAGTCCTTTATTAGTATGTAAGTGCTTTGTTAATAATTCTTTGTTAGTAATTCTATCGCTCGAAGTGGAGTCGAAAGAGATGAGTTTTCAGTCTGCTCCTTAATATGTGTAAGCTTTCTGCTGTCCTGATGTCAATGGGGAGCTCATTCCACCATTTTGGAGCCAGGATAGCAAACCCACGTGTTTTTGCTGATGGGAACTTGGAAACTGGATTACTGCAATGCTCTGTGTACATTGGAGTAAGCAAGGCTTCCCTGTCTCGCCTACAGCTGGTCCAGAATGCTGCTGCGCGCCTCCTTACAAGGACAGGCAGGCGTGAACATATTACACCTGTACTCGCCTCTTTACATTGGCTACCAGTCAGTTTTAGAATACAATTTAAAATGTTATTGTTTGCATACAAAGCCCTAAACGGTTTAGCCCCCCCCACCGTACCTGGCAGATCTTTTAAAACCACACACACCCACACGGTCACTGAGGTCGCTGACAGACTCCTGCTGGTCGTCCCTAAATCGAGGTTAGAGCNCCAGAAATAAAACTGTAGGGATGTCATGCTGTGTTTTGTTACGTTACGTTACGTCCGCGGAGCCGTTACGTCCTCACACACACACACACTCAATCTTCTCTCAGCTGCAGCTCCGCCGATTGGCGGGACGCGGCGAGGCTGTGAGTCTGTGTGTGAGCACACACACAAACTCACAGCCAGGCTGCGGGTGTGTGTGTGTTCGGGCTGGGTTTCGCTGTCTCACAGACGGCCACTGGGTTCACGGGGGGGTGGGGGGCAGAGGACAGAGAGTGAATACACATACTATACAGAGATGCTGTATGAGAAACCAATGTGAGTTTGGAAAATGTCACAAGATAAATGTATTCTAGTCGACCTCAACAATGGAATTAGGATCAGTAGAAAAGGCCATGACACGGGACCTTTAAAAAAACTCAAGATTCTGTTTCTATGAATATATAAAGAAATGTATTTGCACCATAGTAACAACAATGACTCCTGGATTGGAAATAATGTTTATCAAGTGAACAGAAAGCTATAATGCAATATAAATAATAAGTATATTGTGAAAGCGTTACATACCTGTGATATTGCTCTGAAGGCACCGGTCTTCCCCAACATCTCTCCACCTTTAGAGACAGACTCCGCTGAGGTCTTCGCTGATTTGGCTGCTTCCTCTATTCCATCCTTGATTTTCTTTCCAATGTCCGTACGACTCACCTCCTCAAGCCCCTGTTCTCACACACACACACACACACACACACACACACACACACACACACACACACACACACACACACATCTTGTTAGGGTGGATAGATACATTTGAACAGCATGTCCATGATGATTAAAAGAAAGGCAGCATCACATTGAAACACGTTTACCTCTTTAACGCTCTCAGAGATGTTTCCCAGCTTCTTCCTGAGAACATCGGAGGTCTTCACTGTTTCAGACTCTATCGTTTTCTAGAAGAAAGACATTGCGTTGGCAAACCAAACACACATTTTCATAATAAAAAGGTGTGTGTAGCAGAATACTTACAAATTTCCTTCGAGCTTGTTTCAATGCTTCTGACTCCTCTAGCTTTTGGGCCTCTTCTCTGAACTTCTTGATGTTGTCTTTCATTTCTTTGTTTTTGTTTAGCTCTTGCTTTATGTTGTCCAGTAACTCCCCCATGAAACCCTTTCTGCCCCCGCCTCTGCCCCCGCCTCTCTCCCCTGACATATACCTGACCTGCAGGGAGGGGGACTGAGACACCTTGTGGGAAAGAATCAGAAACAACACATTATTAATTTACTCCAGTCGGCGTGGGGCAGTTAAATCAATCTCAAGTTCCTGATCAAAAGGGGACGTTTGAAGGTGAAGGTTGAAATGTTTAGTTGATGCAACTTTATGATATTTTTAGAAGGTGTAGTTTGTGAGGCTGTATATTAGGGTAGCCTTTAGGGTAGGCTAAATAACCGAAATATCTCAATAGTGCAACAACATTTAAAAAGTACATATTCCAAAACTACCCTTAAGTTAATTTAGCAATGGTGTATAGGACACATTAGTTGTTGCTAAAGTAGGCGCTTGTTCAGCAATAGTTTCCATAAAATAAAAAATATTGTTAAGTCTACCTTCCTTATAAATACATTCTACCTTTAAATTAAATCATTGTGAAATCATAAATCCAGATATTGTGATACATCTTGATAAATGTATTTGAACAAGCAGTTAAATAGTGTTGGTATATATTGTAAGAAGTTTTCTTCCAACAGCTGTGTGCAGTATTTTTCTTCAAGTACTCAGGTTAATTCTTAAAACTATCACTCAAGTCCTCACTGTTCATGCATGCATGTCTGGTGGCTTGCTCAAGGGCACCACGGCAGGGCAGGAGGTGAACTGGGACCTCTCCAAGTAGCAGTCCACACTCCATATTTAGGTCTGGTCGGGGACTTGAACCAGCGACCCTATGGCTCACAGCCCAAGCCCCTACTGACTGAGCACTGCCGGACTAACATGGTTAATGAAAAATAAAAGGACGTTTATCAGAATACATTCTGGCTATATCATTTGTTTTTGTCATTTTCTGTCACTCAAGCACTTTGGGCTGCGTCAAGCATGAAAGGTGCTATATAAATCACGGTTGCCAACTCTCACGCATGTGGCGTGTGACACACGCTTTCATTCTCAATCTCACGCTGCCCAAACTATTCTCACGCCAAAAACAAGATGAACCGGCGATCCTTTTTGGTTGGTTATTTACAATGTTGAGTTGACAGCTGCTCAAGCTGTCACGATAAGTCAATTAATTGCTCACTGTTTTATTGTGTGCCTGTCACGATAAGCAATTAATTGACTTATCGTGACAGCTTGAGCAGCTGTCAACTCAACATTGTAAATAACCAACCAAAAAGGATCGCCGGTTCATCTTGTTTTTGGCGTGNTCAGACACGCCCAGCTCCAAGATTTTCAAGATTTTTTCAAAGCTGCTGTGTAGACGTACCGTAACACAGAAAATACCTCCCCAAAACGCCTCGTTGGAGATACGTCACTGTCCATTGATTCTTCAGGGTACCGCATGATGTCATGCGTTACCCGGAACCAAATGGACCAATCCGTGGAGCCATTACGTTAAGCCCCCGCTGATTGGTCCAAATTGACCAATCCACGGACTTCCTCACACACACACTCAGTGCAGGCAGCTCTGNGCCAAAAACAAGATGAACCGGCGATCCTTTTTGGTTGGTTATTTACAATGTTGAGTTGACAGCTGCTCAAGCTGTCACGATAAGTCAATTAATTGCTTATCGCGACAGGCACACAATAAAACAGTGGAAACAAACATGTGTTTGACTTTCATTAGTGAATGAAACGTTGTGCCCTTTATAGTCTGTGTCCAATATTGTGTATTTGTATTTATTGTATATATATCCTATATATATATATGCTAAGGTCCCGCTACTGACACGATAGCAGTCATTTCGTGCGCATATGTGTAATTAAACCCATGATATCAAAATCTCACTCCAGCCAGGTACCCAAAGTTGGCAACCCTGTATAAATCAAGTTTAATATTATAATTATTAAATCTCCCAGACCTAATTTGAAGGAATCTCTTCATAGTAAAAAGGCATGTAGCAAAGGTACAGCTTTATAATATCCAGACATAATTAAACATGAAAATAAGACAGGGGTTGTACCTGTGAAGAGCATGTGAGGAGCCCATGTGTCCTGTAGACAGCGGCTCTGTTGTGAAGGAGAAGGTAGCAGGAAGGGAAAGAAACCAAGCCTCTTCTCACACATATCTGCACACACACACATACAATCTTATTAAACCACGCAGAAACTCACAATCACCCTACAGACCTGCACATTTAGGTTATCAACAAAAGCTTTAAACCTTGTGATATTAACCCAAAACGTCATGATGGAAAGCCAGAAAATGCAGCTAGATACCAATGCATGACTTTACTTCGAAAATATTTGATTCAAACACCGTTTGGACACCTGACAATCCAAAGAGCTAACTTAGCTAATGCTACGTTAGCACCCTGAATGACTTTAACTTCAAATACAAGTCCAACACTTAACAAGGTTAAACTGGCAGTTCACATATGCAATTCAAGTTCTTCCCTTATCATTTCGTGGGGTTGAAAGGTTGATATTTACAACAAAACGTCCACAGAACTCACCTGGTAACACTGACACAAGGGGGTCGCCATCTTGAATGTTAATGCTCGTGACCTTCTTCCGGTAGTGACCTTCCGGTTCTTTTTTACCTTGTATTTTTATTATAGGCTACACTACAAATACGTATTTATTTCAGGTAATATATAATATATTTAGACATTAAATTTATGAAGCAAGTGTACACTAAACATATTTCAAATGTGTTTTTTTTTAACGAATTAAATGTGAATCAATTTAAGATATACTTCTATTTTATATGTTGCATTCCTTATCTGCAAGGGGGTATCTTGAGAGCTTATGCTACATCTCCAAGCCCCTTTTACCCTAATATGAATTGCTTAAACTGTCTGGAAACAACTACATACATTGTTTTTAAACCATTTGAAGTCATCCTTATAAATTATAACTATGTTTATGTGTTAATACACGACAAACCCAGAATGGAAAATGTCAAGCAAAGAAAACTTGATAGTCTCTGGAAAGTCCACCGTAACTGACAGGCAATGCAATTCCACAGAAAGACATCGAACAAAGTATTTCAAACACCAAGGTTTATTTATCAAAACACCTTATAGAACAAAGGCAATGACAGGTGAAGCATCACAGAAAATAAAATGTTAAAATTTGGTCTCTAAAAAAAAAATCAAGTACATTTTAGCAAAAACTAAAACACTTTCACTGTGACAACTAACAAAACTAAAAAAAACATTTGTCACCCTTACAAATATCTAAGTGGATATGATAAGAAAATGCTGATGGGCAAAACCGATCATAAAGGGCATTTGGACACGAGGAACTAGATGAATGGAAGACGCAACAGACAGATCGTTTATGCATTTCTATCGATTCTAACATCGATTTCTCTGCCGTTCAGCCGGTAGCCGTTCATGGTCCTGCAGACGCGCTCGGCAGTTTCTGGGGTGTCGAAGCGAACCACGCCGCAGCCCTTAGACTTGCCGTTCTCCATCTTGATATCAGCATACTGAACCATGCCTGCAGATGGAAGCGAGAGAACTAGTTAGAAGTCATCTTTAAAAAAAGCTTACATCAATATCATATTTGCAATCGAGGAGTATTCTTACCACATGTGTTGAAGGTATCCTTCAGCATCTTCCAGTTGAAGTCGAAGGGCAGCTGAAGAACAAAAAACAAATTGATATTAAAAATCAGACGCAAGATGCTTATTTGTATTACTTGCACTATTTTATCTGTTTTGTTATGTTGCACGTTTGAAGGAGGCTGTGACCTAAGATTTACATTGATATATCTACACATGAAAATAAAAGCCTTGAATCTTAAAAGAAGAAGAAGTGAATTAGGCCAAACTACAGTTCATTAGAATCGAGTTTATAGCCAGGTGCTTTTACACAAACATAAGAAAATAAGTTGTAAGAAAAGGTCAGGTGAAGACTTACATTTCTGACAAAGATCTGGCATCCCTTCCTGATGTTGTTGTTGTTGTTGTTGCCTCCACCAGCTCCAGGACCTCCAGCTCCTCCGAAGGAGTTCCCTCCGAACCCACGCTCCAAGTCTGCAGAGCGATCAAACTGCCCGCCCACGCTGCCGGACCCCATGCGCTCCATGCCGCCGGAGTTCATGCGGTCCATGCCGCCGGAGGGGAAGCGGTCGATTCCTCCAGTGGAGCCGATGCGGTCGAAGCTGGTGGGCATTCTGTCGATGCCGGTGTTGCTCATGCGATCCATTCCCATCGGGGAGCTGAAGTCCAGGCCAGAACCCATGCGATCCAATCCGGAGGGGCCAAGGCGATCAAACCCAGCCGGGCCCAGGCGGTCCATGCTGGAACTCATGCGGTCCAGGCCGGGTCCGAGCCGGTCCATACTGGGTCCCAGACGATCCATCCCTGAGCCCATGCGGTCGAACCCAGAGCCGATCCTTTCCAGGTCAGACCCGCGCTCCATCCTGTCCATGCCTCCTCCCATGCGCTCCATGCCGCCTCCCATGCGCTCCATGCCGCCTCCCATGCGCTCCATGCCAGAACTCATGCGGTCCATACCCTGGGAGTTTCCTTTTAAAAAGAGACCAAAAAGGGGGAAAACAGTTAAAATCTACTGTCTGAGCCGAGCATTGCACCTGATGATCAGAGGAGCTAGAGGGAATATTTAACAAGATCCTAAAAAATAAATACTAACCCATTCCTCTTTCAAACGACTCTCCAAAATTATTGCGAGACATTCCCATATCATTCCGCCCAAACTCCCTCTCAAAAGCACCACCAATCCCACGCTCCATCTCTGACAATGCAAGAGATTAAACCATTAGAAACGACCAGAAAACCGCGAAATAGTTCCACGCTGGCTTGAGAGGGATTAACGCGTTCCCTTACCGTTAGCCCTGCCCATCCCGGAAGAACCGAAACGCTCCATGTTGTTCATTCCTCCAAAGTTGTCCATTCCTGGAACAGATTGGAAGTCTTAATGCCAAACGGCAGAAAAACAACGAAAACGATGAAAAGCTGATGCCTTAATGATATACGAGTATGGGAGCTTAAAACAAAAACATTATGAATTATACATTTTTCATTTTGCCAAGCACTCTAATATGTTGTGATAATGATGTTGTTCATGTGTCCGCGTACAATTATTTCAGGGGCTTCAATTAAACTATGAATTGTTGTTCAATTATATAAAAAGGTAGCGGTAGTATTGAAAACATTATGGACCACACTACTAAAAAACCTTCAGGACATACCTCCCCCACCACTGCCGCCTCCCATACGACCGCCCATGTTGCCGAAGCCCATTCCATCCATTCCTACAAGTGACAAGAGAGATGATTATCTACTGATTCCAAGGGTATCTTTTATTTATAAGGGTTTAACAAAATAATACTTCAGCTAGTTACCTCCAGGGCCCATGTTGCCCATTCCTCCACCACCACCACCTCCGCCTCCTCCTCCTCTGTTCAGTTGGGTCGCATCAATGGGCTGGCCATTAGGTCCCAGACCCAGACCAATACCACTCAGGCCACCTGGGCAGAGAAAATGCAAAATGTGATTACATTTTTCGCGGAACTAAAGGGGATCCAAATGTAGACGTGGAAAATAAACGGCAGCGGTTGGACCACTGCGTCAACATGTCAACTTTCTAGATAGAAATGTTGCATCGTTCTTTTTTGTTGGTTAAAAATATCAGAAAACTGAGCTTTCTTTTTTGTCATGTGTTCACTTCATTCACTGAACAAACAAATGTGATAAGTGGCAGAACCAAGGACACTTTTAGGTTTATTGTTAGCACACTTATAACAATTCAAGTTTTATTTATATAGCACATTTATAAACGATTTTTGGTCGAGCCTAAGTGCTGTACATATAATAAAAAATACAATATGAATTAACGTACAATATGAAACCCTTGCTAAACTAACCCAGTAAGTATCTCAGGATATGTTTGTGAGGTTAGTTATTTCAACAAGGTGTATTTACTCGATACAAAGCTATATCACAGGTGAAAGTCAGCACAAAACAGAAGTACACTTTCAAGGACAACACGTTTTTAATACTCAACCATTCTACCCTCCATTTAAAACAATGTCTTTATGTTTTTTATCTGAGTGAAGAAAGCTACGTTTCTACTTACGGGGGAGAGCAGAAGAAGCTCTCTCAGGTGGTCCAAAATCTTTGGGCAGGGATTTCTCATCCTGACAAAAGCATACAGACAGATTTAGACTTTATACTTCAATCATAGATATATACTTTATTAATCCCAAATTGGGAAATATTTAATGTGCTTCAATCAAAGTACATTAGGGGTTGAGGAACATACCAGTTTGACGTGCATCAGTCTGTTGAATAAAAGCTGTCCATTGAACATAGCTGTGAAATCATTAAGGAAAAGCCCACCAGAGACCTTTTGCCACAACGTGATTCTAATGAATAAACATTTCATGCATACACAGAGATCACAATCCAACAGTTTTAGAAAGGATACAGACAGCTTGGACTGCTTCAATGGGCATATCGAATGTGACTGTGCCCATGCCTCTGCTTTTCCCATCCTTGTCCTCCAGGATGTCGGCCCTCACCACGATGCCTGCCATGCTGAAAACCTCCTTCAGCTTCTTCCAGCCCACTTTGTAGTCCAGCTGCAGGGACAAAGGACCATTTAAGAGTGAGTTTTATCCGTAGACAAGAGGCGCTTTCACACCAAGTACTTTGCCGTACTTAGCTCATGAGAACTCTTTAGTTCTGATGAGCTAAAGAGCAGATCGCGTTCACACCTGAATAAGTCTCTGGGGGTGGATTAGGCAAATTAAGCCGCTGACGTCACTTCTTCTTCTTCTGCTTTGGGTTTACTGGCAGGCCGCAAACAACTTCACGGCGTATACTGCCACCCGAAGTCCCCGGAGTTGGGGTAAATCGCCAAAATGCCGACACCTCCTCATCACTCCCATGTTTTCTTTTGTGTTGCCATAACTTAGTCTCTCTCAGTTTGTGCACTGGGCTAATGTTAATGCTAATAATGCTAAGAAAATAAAATGGCGACTTCAAAAACTTTTTGGGAGCTCTCTAGCAGGGACTGAAAAGGTTCTCATGAACTAAGTTTGGAACTATACTGAGAAAAGTACTCAGGTGTGAAAGCGCCTAAGGATGAAAATACAAGGTTTCTCTTTTCGCAATGACACATTTCAAATATTATGTTTATTTTTGGGAAAACTCACATTAGCCACAAAGACAGTGCTGCCAATCCTGCCGGCCTGGAGACCGTGGATGACCTCGTTGGGGATGTTGGGGTTGTTCATCAGGCTAGGAGGAATGTTAACGTTGCCATTTCCTGGTCCTGGGCCCATTCGATCCATGTTAATGCGATCCATTCCCCCCATTACTCCCATGCCTCCCATATTGCCCATTCCCCCCATTCCACCATGGCCTCCTGGATGTCCTCCACCTTGAGTCTTGTTGATTTCTCTCTGAGCAATCACACCATCAGGGTCCTACAAATAGAGCAAGAAAATATCAAAGGTCGTGGAAATCGGCAGCTGCCATTTAGATTTGTTTTTCTTGCTTTGACATACCTCTTTCACTTTA